GTCCCTCGCAGCTTCTGTGGCTTCGCTGTCACCGTTCCAGCCTCGGCTAGGGCGGGGAGGGGGCCTCCGAGGTGGGGCGGGCACACTCCCAGGGCCGGGCGGAGCCGCAGCTGCAAACTCTGACACAAAAGACGTGCCTTAAGGAACCCGCCGCCGTGCCCAGGTGCCCCTTGGGGCAGCCAGCTCGGCCCCTTGGCCCCAAGGCCGCAGCATCTCCCTCCCCCAGCCCCGCCCTCCCGCCACCCCAGGGGGCAGGCAGGCAGGCCCCCTCCCCCGCGGAACTGTTAACTTATTCAGCTCGCTGGCTTTGCACAGCCTGCCCTGGGCCCAGCCCTGAGCCCCGGGTGGGCGCCGGCGGGCATCATCTGGTGACACCCCACTGTCGACAGCAGCCCCAGGACCCCTCCCCTAGCAACCCCACCGCTCCTCCCTCCTCGGTATAAGTGCAATTAAAGCCGTGGGCGTCGCATCTTCTCCAGAGCTGGGCCCTCCCTTGCCCCGCAGCCCTAGAGGGGGCACTGCCTGGCCTGGCTGGGGGGAGGGCAGCAGGGGACACCGCCTCCAGCTTCCAAAGAGCAGCAGGTGGGCGGGCGTCGGAGCCCGAGGGGCCTGCTGCGGGCAGCGGGAAGCGCCTGCGCCTGCCCGGCCAGGCTGGGTGCCCCGCTCGCTCAGATTCAAGAGCCCCGCGTCCCGGGCCCTCCCCGCTGCCGGTGTGTAATGGAACCCCCGCGCCCCTCCTCTTCCCGGAGACCCCGCTTGTCCTCCGTGCCGTGCGCCCCCGCCCCCCATGACTATTGTGCGATTTGTGAGCGCCGCCTGAGCGGAGTTGGTAACTTGTTGGGTTTCTTTCCAACCATCATGGCCTTATCTGTTCCCGTTTTCTCAGTGTTTTCAACCTGTGAGATAGATGTTTATGGCAAAAAAAGAAAAAAACAAGAAAAATCTGACCTATTGTATAAAAATCACTATTTTGTGTGCTCCGCGTGCTACAGCTTTTGGGGTGGCCTGCCCACTCCTCCTTCCCCGCGCTCGGGGCTCCCCTCCCGGCGGTGAAAGTGTCCACACGTGTGGTAGTCTAGTGTGCCGAGCTGTTTTCTACTTTTTTGTAGTCTTTCTTAAAACACAATAAATTCTGCTGTGATCTTTGGCTACTGCTGACTCGCTGGGCCTTGGTGGGGGCTGGGGGCTCCAGCTGGGCCCTGAGTGGCAGTAATGGGACCTGGGCGAGGCTCAGAAATAGAACATTTATTACGTGAAGAGGAACAGTGGGGGAGCAGGGAGGGCTGCGATGTTTGCCGCCTCGGGTGGGGGAGGCTGGGGACAGGCAGGGAACCGGGGTCCATTCGGCCTCCCTGGGGGCAATGTCCATGCCTGCAGCCCAGGAGAGGGGCAAATGAGGGAAAGTGGGGCCGTGCCAGCGCAGGGTGAAGGCGGGCGCTCAAGGCTGGTGGGGCAGGGGCTCCCTCCCTCTGCCCCTTCCCAACTTAAATAGGCATAAATAAGAAGCGTCCAGACTCTCAGGCCACCAGGGGCTGCCCCGCCCAGTCCCTTCCCGCAGCCTAACACTAGTGCCGGTCGGGGGTGGGCCGGCCAGCCGGGCACAGGCTGCCAGGAAGGCGGCCAGCCCCAGGCCACGGAGGTAGTTGGAGTCAGTGTCCAGGGCGGCGGGCCCTCACAGCACGATCCACGTGTATCGCTCGCTGTCCGCCAGAACCTTCAGTGAGCACCCTGCGGGGAGCGTGGGACAGAGCCAGGCAGTCTCAGGCCCAGGCTGTGGGAGGGGCCTGCCTCTCTCCCTCACTTGATTTGGGCCCAGAAGGTTCTGGAAGGCAGAGGCCCTGCTGAGTTCACCTCTGCCTCCCAACTGCAGCCACCCCATGTCTGCTGAATGAGTGAACGACCAGCTGGGGGCCCCCAGGGGCCACACCTGCCAGCCCTCTCGGTGGGGCCTGGCCTGGGCTGCCCTCCCCGCAGCTCGGTTCCACACATCCACCAGCACGGCCAGCCTGCTCCGGGCCGGGCCTAGCAGGGGCAGGCGCGCGGTCTTGACCGTCCCGGGTCAGGGCCCACCTTTGTGCAGGGCCTCGTTGGTCATCCTGTTGACGTAGCGGCCACTGCTCTCGGGCACCAGCCACTTCATGACCATGTCCACGCAGCTCTTGCGGTAGGAGCTCCACACGCTGCCGCTGCGGGGCAGGGGGTGAGCGGCTCTCGTCGCCCTGGCCGCCCCAGCCCCGCCCCACCCCAGCCCCGCCCCGCCCC